AGAGGCACTTTAGTTTGTAAACGCCCGGGTACTGTATGTCTGGAACAGCATCTTTTACAGATGGAACTAGATCACGGATTTTATGTTTTGTGTTGAATCGGACCTGGATCTTGTGTTTATTCAGGATTTTGGAGATCTTTTTAGTGACCCCTGCAATGTAGGGTAAGGTGATGGTTTTGAGTGGCTCCACAAGAGAATCCTTCTTCATGACTGGAGTGATGGCTTTGCGGATTGTGTAGTCGGAGTAACCATTAGCCCTGAGAGCCTGGTGTACGTGCTTGACAATTTCAACCGAGAAGATGGATTCTGGCTTAGTAACCATTGGAAAGATGTTTTAAACCATTTCCGTTCTTAATTAATTGTATTTTACGATGACCTTCAGACCGCAGCTCTTTCACCAGCATTGACTCTTAATACCTCTCACACCACGGTTAATGGTACGGTTTACAACATGGAGTATAATAGCGCCTCGCAGCTGTCTCTCTCCCCCTCCTCTGTTCCGACCTTGGATGAACTCGTCCGTCTGAACGGGGCCCGTAGCTATCCGTGTTGCTAAAGTTGAGGGTAAGAATCCACCCATTTTTTCGCCATATAGCATTGTGATATATAATGACTTATTGTTGGTTGCTTAGCTGATTGGAGAATATAGAGTTTATTGATAACATTAAGGTAATTTATGTTTTAGTTTTTTATTGGTTCACTATATAGTATTATACATTTATTGGTTCACTATATAGTATTATACATTGTATTGTATACCCAGTTACTGTGAATAGCTCAGATGTGTAGACCTTGGCTTCAACATAGCCATTTCTGTGACCAGTCACTAGCTAATCAGTCAGTTATCTCAATGCTAAATTCGCCTAGTTATTTCAATGCTAAATTCTCCTGTTTGATTTGTACTAGGTGCCTCGGTGAATGTGTATGCTCTGACTTTAAACATAGCTATTTCTGTGACCAGTTACAAGCTAATCACTCAGCTATTTCAATGCTAAATTCTATGCTAATTCCTTTGTCAAGGGGTGCCTCTGCGGATGTGTATGCTTTAACTTAGCTATTTCAATGCTAAATTATATGCTAATTCCTTTGTCAAGGGGTGCCTCTGCAGATGTGTATGCTTTAACTTTAACATAGCCATTTCTGTGACCAGTCACAAGCTAATCACTCGGCCATTTCAATGCTAAATTATATGCTAATTCCTTTGTCAATGCGCTTTGTTTCTTCTGACACAGCTTAAAGGTCGTGATCTGAACGTGGCTTTTTTCACTCCAGCGCTGTCCTACCAGACAGTCTCGTCCCTTCACCTGATGAAGGCCGCTTGTGTTGTGGCTGAAACGTCGTGAGAATATTATTGTGTTATTTTATTTTATCATTTATTGTTTTATTCTCATTCTACGTGACTTTACCGAAAGAACCAAAAAAGATCAGAGGGCTTGTGATTAAATTAAGTCAACTAAAACTAGAAGTGGCAAATCTTGACCCGGACATTTTTTGCCTAACAGAAACATTTCTCACTCCTGCCGTCAATGACTTGCTGATTGCAATTGACAACTACAACCTTTTTCGGCTTGACCGAGGATCTGAAGGAGATGTAATTGCCATCTATGTTCGTAATACTATTGCATGTTCACTAGCTCACTCCTTGTTTAAAAACCTACAGCGCATATTTTCAACCTGTCCATCAAAGAAGCACCAGTTCCGCTAGAATGGAAACATTCCTATGTCCGTCCACTTCACAAAGGGGGCCCTAAAGATGATCCAAATAACTACCGACCTATATCAATTTTGTCCCCGTTTATGAAAATTTTTGAAAAATTATTGACCTACCAAATTAGCAGTTTCCTGTCCACCAACAATCTACTACATCTAAAACAATCTGGGTTCCGAAAAAAATACAGCACTACATCTGCTGCATTAGACTCTCTGAATCACATTTACAGTAGCCTTGATAATAAGCAGTACTGTGCCTGTCTTTTTCTAGACCTGTCCAAAGCTTTTGATACAGTAGACCACAACACCCTGCTTAGTAAACTAAGTTGCCTCGATTCTAGACACGACTTTGACTCAAGGTGACTTCAATCTGCATTAAGAAAGATGATGGGGTTCGCCTGCTGATAAAAATGACCGTTTATTGAATCCGAATTTAGGCAAATCTCGATCATTCCATTCAGTATAACCATGGAGATGTCCACAGCTCTAGATCTGCCAGACAGTTTATATGTTGTTTAACTTCGTACATACAGTGAGGGAAAAAAGTATTTGATCCCCTGCTGATTTTGTACGTTTGCCCACTGACAAAGAAATGATCAGTCTATAATTTTAATGGTAGGTTTATTTGAACAGTGAGAGACAGAATAACAACAACAAAATCCATAAAAACGCATGTCAGAAATGTTATAAATTGATTTGCATTTTAATGAGGGAAATAAGTATTTGACCCCTCTGCAAAACATGACTTAGTACTTTGTGGCAAAACCCTTGTTGGCAATCACAGAGGTCAGACGTTTCTTGTAGTTGGCCACCAGGTTTGCACACATCTCAGGAGGGATTTTGTCCCACTCCTCTTTGCAGATCTCCTTCGTCATGAAGGTTTCGAGGCTGACGTTTGGCAACTCGAACCTTCAGCTCCCTCCACAGATTTTCTATGGGATTAAGGTCTGGAGACTGGCCAGGCCACTCCAGGACATTAATGTGCTTCTTCTTGAGCCACTCCTTTGTTGCCTTGGCCGTGTGTTTTTGGTCATTGTCATGCTGGAATACCCATCCACGACCCATTTTCAATGCCCTGGCTGAGAGAAGGAGGTTCTCCCCCAAGATTTGATGGTACATGGCCCCATCCATCGTCCCTTTGATGCGGTGAAGTTGTCCTGTCCCCTTAGCAGAAAAACACCCCCAAAGCATGTTTCCACCTCCATGTTTGACGGTGGGGGTGGTGTTCTTGGGGTCATCGGCAGCATTCCTCCTCCTCCAAACACGGCGAGTTGAGTTGATGCCAAAGAGCTCCATTTTGGTCCCATCTGACCACAACACTTTCACCCAATTGTCCTCTGAATCATTCAGATGTTCATTGGCAAACTTCAGACGGGCATGTATATGTTCTTTCTTGAGCAGGGGAACCTTGCGGGCGCTGCAGGATTTCAGTCCTTTACGGCGTAGTGTGTTACCAATTGTTTTCTTAGTGACTATGGTACCAGCTGCCTTGAGATTATTGACAAGATCCTCCCGTGTAGTTCTGGGCTGATTCCTCACCGTTCTCATGATCATTGCAACTCCACGAGGTGAGATCTTGCATGGAGCCCCAGGCCGAGGGAGATTGACAGTTCTTTTGTGTTTCTTCCATTTGCGAATAATCGCACCAACTGTTCTAGATTTAAAGCTGTCGTGACTGCAAGGATCCATACTCTTTGGTTCTATTCGGTAAAGTCACGTAACAAACAACAAAAAATAAAAATAAAAATTCACGACGTTTCGGCCACAACACAAGTGACCTTCATCAGGTGAAGGGACATTCCTTTGTCAGGGCGCTCGGCTTCTTCTCACACAGCTTAGAGGTCGCGGTCTGAGCTTGACTGTGTGCACTCCAGCGCTGTCCTCTGGACAGTCTTGTCCCCTTCACTCACTCACTCCACTCACTCACTCACTCCACTCACTCACTCACTCCACTCACTCACTCACTCACTCCACTCACTCACTCCACTCACTCCACTCACTCCACTCACTCACCCCACTCACTCACTCCACCCACTCACTCCACTCACTCACTCCACTCACTCCACTAACTCCACTAACTCCACTCACTCTACTCACTCACTCCACTCACTAACTCACTCCAATCACTCCACTCACTCACTCCACTCACTCACTCCACTCACTCCACTCACTCACTCTACTCCCCCCCCCCCCCCCCCCCCCCTGCTGCTGGTCCGTTATGGTCCCCACCCGCTCCTGGTCCATCATGGCCCATACACCTCCTACGTACATCATGCTCATTTCTATACTAATTCCTTTGTCAAGCGCTTTACTTCCTCCCACACAGCTTAAAGGACGCGACCTGGGCTGGGCTGTTTTCACTCCAACGCTGTCCTCATGACAGCACGGTCCCTTCACCTGATGAAGGCCACTTGTGTTGTGGCCGAAACGTCGTGAATTTTTATTTTTATTTTTTGTTTGTTACGTGACTTTACCGAACAGAACCAAAGAGTATGCACCAACTGTTGTCACCTTCTCACCAAGCTGCTTGGCAATGGTCTTGTAGCCCATTCCAGCCTTGTGTAGGTCTACAATCTTGTCCCTGACATCCTTGGAGACCTCTTTGGTCTTGGCCATGGTGGAGAGTTTGGAATCTGATTGATTGATTGCTTCTCTGGACAGGTGTCTTTTATACAGGTAACAAGCTGAGATTAGGAACACTCCCTTTAAGAGTGTGCTCCTAATCTCAGCTCGTTACCTGTATAATAGACACCTGGGAGCCAGAAATCTTTCTGATTGAGAGGGGGTCAAATACTTATTTCCCTCATTAAAATGCAAATCAATTTATAACATTTTTGACATGCGTTTTTCTGGATTTTGTTGTTATTCTGTCTCTCACTGTTCAAATAAACCTACCATTAAAATTATAGACTGGTCATTTCTTTGTCAGTGGGCAAACGTTCAAAATCAGCAGGGGATCAAATACTTTTTTCCCTCACTGCATGTTGAACTTCTTTCACACTGTACATAGCCAACTGTGCTAATTGGAGGTGCGGGGGAAGGACAACAAACTAAACACTAAAGCAGTTCTAAAAAAAATAGTTTTCAATCTAGATTAAAAAGTGCACAGCTCCAGTGGCTTCCTAATATCAGAAGAGCGTCCCAGATGGGCATAGAAGTGCAGGTCGCGAGTCAAGGGACAGGAGCACTGTTACGATGCCGAGCGCTGACAGGACCTCGCTGCCGGTCCCATTATCGGGCCTCCTCTCATTCCCTTGTCACCCCCCCTCACTAACCCGGGCCCTACGCAGGTGCTCATGGGAGGTTTGTGGCACGAGGAGAGGGTGCGGCGGAGCGGGAGGCACGTGTTCAGACGCTGGAGCCCGAGTACTGGATGCGCGAGGTGGAGCGGCACGGACACGGTACCCGTAGGAGGAAGCCCCTCTCCCCGCCTGAAGTGTACGTCGTTTACAGTACAGTACAATTATATGTACAGTGAGGGAAAAAAAGTATTTGATCCCCTACTGATTTTGTACGTTTGCCCACTGACAAAGAAATGATCAGTCTATAATTTTAATGGTAGGTTTATTTGAAAAGCGAGAGACAGAAAAACAACAAAAAAATCCAGAAAAACGCATGTCAAAAATGTTATAAATTGATTTGCATTTTAATGAGGGAAATAAGTATTTGACCCTCTCTCAATCAGAGAGATTTCTGGCTCCCAGGTGTCTTTTATATAGGTAACGAGCTGAGATTAGGAGCACACTTTTAAAGGCAGTGCTCCTAATCTCAGCTTGTTACCTGTATAAAAGACACCTGTCCACAGAAGCAATCAATCAATCAGATTCCAAACTCTCCACCATGGCCAAGACCAAAAAGCTCTCCAAGGATGTCAAGGACAAGATTGTAGACCTACACAAGGCTGGAATGGGCTACAAGACCATTGCCAAGCAGCTTGGTGAGAAGGTGACAACAGTTGGTGCGATTATTCGCAAATGGAAGAAACACAAAAGAACTGTCAATTTCCCTCGTCCTGGGGCTCCATGCAAGATCTCACCTCGTGGAGTTGCAATGATCATGAGAACGGTGAGGAATCAGCCCAGAACTACAAGGGAGGATCTTGTCAATGATCTCAAGGCAGCTGGGACCACAGTCACCAAGAAAACAATTGGTAACACACTACGCCGCGAAGGACTGAAATCCTGCAGCGCCCGCAAGGTCCCCCTGCTCAAGAAAGCACATATACATGCCCGTCTGAAGTTTGCCAATGAACATCTGAATGATTCAGAGGACAACTGGGTGAAAGTGTTGTGGTCAGATGAGACCAACATGGAGCTTTTTGGCATCAACTCAACTCGCCGTGTTTGGAGGAGGAGGAATGCTGCCTATGACTCCAAGAACATCATCCCCACCGTCAAACATGGAGGTGGAAACATTATGCTTTGGGGGTGTTTTTCTGCTAAGGGGACAGGACAACTTCACCGCATCAAAGGGACGATGGACAGGGCCATGTACCGTCAAATCTTGGGTGAGAACCTCCTTCCCTCAGCCAGGGCATTGAAAATGGGTCATGGATGGGTATTCCAGCATGACAATGACCCAAAACACACGGCCAAGGCAACAAAGGAGTGGCTCAAGAAGAAGCACATGAAGGTCCTGGAGTGGCCTAGCCAGTCTCCAGACCTTAATCCCATAGAAAATCTGTGGAGGGAGCTAAAGGTTCGAGTTGCCAAACGTCAGCCTCGAAACCTTTATGACTTGGAGAAGATCCGCAAAGAGGAGTGGGACAAAATCCCTTCTGAGATGTGTGCAAACCTGGTGGCCAACTACAAGAAACGTCTGACCTCTGTGATTGCTAACAAGGGTTTTGCCACCAAGTATAAGTCATGTTTTGCAGAGGGGTCAAATACTTATTTCCCTCATTAAAATGCAAATCAACTTATAACATTTTTGACATGCGTTTTTCTGGATTTTTTTGTTGTTATTCTGTCTCTCACTGTTCAAATAAACCTACCATTAAAATTATAGACTGATCATTTCTTTGTCAGTGGGCAAACGTACAAAATCAGCAGGGGATCAAATAGTTTTTTCCCTCACTGTATGTATGTTGAACTTCTTTCGCACCGTACGTAGCCAACCATGTTAATTGGAGGAGGGGGGAAGGACACCAAATGATAATGCTGTGTGCTTATAATGTGATGCAATTTTGACATACTGCTGTTGTGTAATGGTCTAGCGCACGGGAAAGATGAATCGCTCACTTTCTTCACCGAGGACCGGGCAGGAGCACTCGAAATATCAATATTATTTTTTTTCAACACAGACCTGGAAGATTTGATCAGAGAAAGGACCATAACTCCTTGCCCATATTTTCTGGTTAGCTGCAGGAAATTGAAAGCCATAGAAAGGGGCTCAGCAACAAGCAAAGTAAACGGCACGATAATTGGCCGTCAATGGTTGGGTATGACCTGTTTACATTTGCTTATATTGTATTATGCTGCCTTGGTATAATAGTTAGCACATTGGAGCTGTGATCCTTAAGTCACCAGTTCAATATGCTGTCCTGGCTGTTTAAACAAGCCCCCCAGCCATCTCTGGCTTTTGTGTGGTTTGTTGTTCGTCCACAATATTTTTAATATATATTTTGTATTCCAGCTTTGAGAATTGTATGTTTATTGAACGTCTTTCGCACCCTACGTGGCCAACCGTGCTAATCGGAGGTGCGAATTGATATGTGCCAAACTCTCTGCAGAGAATGCAAAAGGTTTGCACTTAGCACGGATAAAGGGGCCTGTTATAAATTACTTAATAAGTATTTCTATGACATCGTCTTCCAGCTTTGTTCTCTAACACAGAGTGGTCCACTGTTAGCTGTTGCAGTTTCGAAGGCAAATTCACTCGTTGAATAACACATAGCAATATGGGAATTTAATTGGGTAAAAGGAATACAAGTTAATTAGTATGATATAATGCATTCATATGAATAAAAATCAGCTGTTGTTTTAATAAAGGCACTGACAAAACCATCGTATTGCATACGGTGGCTTTGACGTGGTTATAAATGTGAACATTTTAAAGATAACAGTGTCTGCCTGTCAATGCAGCACTGCATAATTTAAATTCACGGCACGCTGTGCTTGAGGTCATCAGGTACATGTGTTTGTCAACTCAGATGTTCTTTCAATCGATCATTAGTGCATTTCCACATACAGTGAGGGAAAAAAGTATTTGATCCCCTGCTGATTTTGTACGTTTGCCCACTGATAAAGAAAGAATCAGTCTATATTTTTAATGGTAGGTTTATTTGAACAGTGAGAGACAGAATAACAACAACAAAATCCAGAAAAACGCATGTCAGAGATGTTATAAATTGATTTGCATTTTCATGAGGGAAATAAGTATTTGACCCCTCTACAAAACATGACTTAGTATTTGGTGGCAAAACCCTTGTTGGCAATCACAGAGGTCAGACGTTTCTTGTAGTTGGCCACCAGGTTTGCACACATCTCAGGAGGGATTTTTTCCCACTCCTCTTTGCAGATCTTCTCCAAGTCATTAAGGTTTCGAGGCTGACATTTGGCAACTCGAACCGTCAGCTCTTTCCACAGATTTTCTATTGGATTAAGGTCTGGAGACTGGCTAGGCCACTCCAGGACCTTAATGTGCTTCTTCTTGAACCACTCCTTTGTTGCCTTGGCCGTATGTTTTGGGTCATTGTCATGCTGGAATACCCATCCACGACCCACTTTCAATGCCCTGGCTGAGGGAAGGAGGTTCTCACCCAAGATTTGACGGTACATGGCCCCGTCCATCGTCCCTTTGTTGCGGTGAAGTTGTCCTGTCCCCTTAGCAGAAAAACACCTCCAAAGCATAATGTTTCCACCTCCATGTTTGACGGTGGGGATGGTGTTCTTGGGGTCATAGGCAGCATTCCTCCTCCTCCAAACACGGCGAGTTGAGTTGATGCCAAAGAGCTCCATTTTGGTCTCATCTGACCACAACACTTTAACCCAGTTGTCCTCTGAATCATTCAGATGTTCATTGGCAAACTTCAGACGGGCATGTATATGTGCTTTCTTGAGCAGGGAGACCTTGCGTGCGCTGCAGGATTTCAGTCCTTCATGGCGTAGTGTGTTACCAATTGTTTTCTTGGTGACTATGGTCCCAGCTGCCTTGAGATCATTGACAAGATCCTCCCGCGTAGTTCTGGGCTGATTCCTCACCGTTCTTATGATCATTGCAATTCCACGAGGTGAGATCTTGCATGCCGCCCCAGGCCGAGGGAGATTGACAGTTCTTTTGTGTTTCTTCCATTTGCGAATAATCACACCAACTGTTGTCACCTTCTCACCAAGCTGCTTTGCAATTGTATTGTAGCCCATTCCAGCCTTGTGTAGGTCTACAATCTTGTCCCTGACATCGTTGGAGAGCTCTTGGGTCTTGGCCATGGTGGAGAGTTTGGAATTTGATTGATTGATTGCTTCTGTGGACAGGCGTGTTTTATACAGGTAACAAGCTGAGATTAGGAGCACTCCCTTTAAGAGTGTGCTCCTAATCTGAGCTCGTTACCTGTGTAGTGGGTTCCAGGACACGGAGACGGCAGAATAGAAGCAGCACTATTTATTTAAACCTTAACAAGGGTTACACTAGAAGGGGTAGCGGCCTCTCCACCCGTATAACTCAGGAACACACCCCAGGCTCTCTAGCCTAAGCTCTAGGCTCCCCGTTCCTCCTGGTAGGGCTCTAAGGGAGGCTATCAGATCCGGCCCTGGTTAGGCACAGATCTCGGCACCCCGCCGACCAGACCGGCCCTTAGAAGGACTCTGACTCTGGGGCTCTGGGGCCGCACCACTGGCTTGCTGTGCCGGCCCTGAAAAGGGCAGCGGTCACAGGAGTTCCAGGGTCTCACCTAGCTGGCCTTCTTTCTTCACTGGTTGCTTCAGCCTCGGGCCCCACACTCTGCCCCGAGCTCCCTGGCTCCCCGCACTTTATACCCACTGGAGCCTGAGCGGACGTTGTTGTAGCCACCAAGGTGTGGGTGAACCACACCTTCCCGTGCCATGTGTTTATTCCTCATAGCACCCCTACACCTGTATAAAAGACACCTGCTGAGATTAGGAGCACTCCCTTTAAGAGTGTGCTCCTTATCTTAGCTCATTACCTGTATAAAAGACACCTGGGAGCCAGAAATCGTTCTGATTGAGAGGGGATCAAATACTTATTTCCCTCATTAAAATGCAAATCAATTGATAACATTTTTGACGTGCATTTTTCTTGATTTTTTTTGTTATTCTCGCTCACTGTTCACATAAACCTACCATTAAAATTATAGACTGATCATTTCTTTGTCAGTGGGCAAACGTACAAAATCAGCAGGGGATCAAATACTTTTTTCCCTCACTGTCGCCGGTAGATAATTAAAAGGCATTTCACTATGTGTCACAGATAATCTTTTGTCACGGACCACGATTGCCATCTTGCCAATTGCAAAGTTACGCAAAGGCAAAAGATCTCACAGGAATAAATGCTGCTTTTATTATGCAGCAAACCTATGAGCTGCTATGAAATATTTCATACATTTTAAGTTTTTATAAGACTCATTCATTGATGCTGTAGTCTGAGGGTCGAAATTGCATGAAAGTAAAAAAAATGCAAATAGTATGGTCGGGTTTTGGAGGGTTTCCTTTATGAGGCAGTGTTATTATTTATAGATTATTTTTTTTACCAGGTAAGGAACATTGAACTATATGGCTCTTTTTCAGAAGCGACCTTGCCACAAATGATAGTTCAACACAGTGGCTTATGTGGAAACTTACAGCAGCCAAATACTCTAAACGCATGTTTCTAAATGTTTGGTAAGTGGGTTGCGTAGTCATCTGTGCGGAGTTTCATTACTCTTCCCAAGTTTGCAGTGTGGCTTGTCTCCAGGTGCCAGGTTCAGCATATACACACAAATGCCCAAAAAGGAAACTGGCCATGCAGCGATCTCTATAAGATGAGCGTTCGTACTGAGCAAAACTCAAGGAGGCTTTTCTAGATAAAGTGTCCAGGCAGACCTCGACTTAACGAGCTGTTCGACTTAGGAACATGTTACAGGAACCGAGCCCGTTCGTAAGTCGAGAACTGCCCCTGTCATTGACGGATGTTGCCACGGTGTTATGGTTTCACACTGGACTTGCAATCCAATAGTTGCTGGTTCAATCTCTCGCTGTGACAGTTGAAACAATGGGGCCAATTTCTTAAATTTCTCTCACCTGTGTTCAGCCAGCTTAAAAATGTGTACACACGATCGATCAGATGGTGTCGTGTGGTGGGATAAAGTGTGGGTACTCCCACCTCTTCCAAAGACGATTTTTCACCATAAAAGATTAGGGCAAATATTCTCTAAGATGGGCTCTCTTGAGCTCCCTCTATTGGAAGCCCTTCTGCTGCCAGTGGCGTGAGCAAGCAATTTCAGGACTGTGCTTTTACCATTTTATCAATTTCATTGTTTTTACAGGCTAGAAGAGGTATTGGTAATGGGACTGAGGATGAACAGAGGGATTACCCACGAGGTGAGTGTCATCCATCATTATTCGCTCCGTTCAGTGCCAAATGTTAGCTTCTCCGCGCGGACGTCAGTGCCACCCAGTGCCTAGGATCGCAATTCGTCTTGCTGCCTACGTACGCCATAGCATGCACACACGCACATTGCCACGTTTGCATGAAAATAAGGGCCTAAAGTCACGTCCTGTAGCTCAACGTGCCACCAGTAGCACCTGAGTCGATATTGTTGATGCCGCCAGTAATAGCACAGCATGTGTCATGCAGTTCGAGGCCGTTTAATATAATTTAATGACATGCTTTATTTATGATTCGGTTACAACCCACTGAGATAATGCGACTACCATCACATTACATGGTAAAGCGCTTTCGCAAACGTCATATTACTTTTACACAAGCAGCAGTGGCCACTTACTACAGCACTCACTGCGATTGAGAATTGGGTATGGGCAAGATAGCTCAATGGCAAATAATGTTCGTATATTAGCACATAGTAATATTAAAAGGACAATTGCGAACTCTGCGATTCTAGATGTTTGTGGAATGTAAGTATCTAAATATCTACAGTGATATTCCTACTCTTTGTTTTTTTTGGTAAAGTCACGTTGGTAAAATTTGATTTTACCTACGTGACTTTACCGAAAAAAAACAAAGAGTACGAATCCTTGCAGTCACGAAAGCTTCAAATCTAGAATTAAGTGATATTCCTCTTGAGGCCAAGTTGCTTCTGAAAAAAGCTATATAGCTCAGTGGACCTTACCTGGCAAAATTTAAATAGTTAATAATTATCTGTATGCCAATTATCCATTCTCCCCACTATCTGCATGCCCTAATAGATCCATACATGCTCCTATTAACAGTGGTCTGATTCTTCCTATTATGCGTTGTAAACAGACCTCCATTCTTTGTCTCCACATACAAATACATATATATTTATTTAAGCCTTTCGGTTTTCAAGACCAATGTTAACCAGCATCATTTGTTTAAACATGTAAATTCTAGACAGGTTTCAACCTTCAGGGTCTCATCAACGGAGTCAGACTTGTTAAATAAAATGCTGCTCAGTTGTCATATGTTATTAGCCAGAGCACTTTGTCTCAACAATGGGGTCCCATTCATTGCAAGAAGCAAGTTTGTATGCAAAAAGGTAAAGTGAGTTGGTATAAATTTTGATTAAAAGCTTTCGTGACTGCAGGGATTCATATTATTGGTTCTTTCGGTAAAGTCACGTAGAAGGGAAACAATAAAATAATAAAAAATAACAAAAATTCTCACGACGTTTCGACTGCAACACAAGCAATCATCATCAAGTGTGAAAACCACAGCAAGAAAATTTGAAAAAAGTGGCGTTTTTTAACGTTAGCACCACGGAGAGCGATTTGGCAGTTATTCAGATGGACGAGTCCATCTATGTACGGAAAAGAGGAGGGGGAGACGAAAATAATGGATGCGGTCTGAAAGCCACCGTATCAAATCCTTCCAATGATTGCTAAGCCAGAATACATCTTCTCGGTTCAAATTGTCTCTGTGTTTGTATATGTGGATAGCCTCATGAACGAATCTCTCATGGAAGCCAGATGACTTGCAAAGAACCTCTGTCTTAGAGAAGTCAAATTTTCATGCTGTGGTTTTCACACCTGATGATGATTGCTTGTGTTGCAGTCGAAACATCGTGAGAATTTTAGTTATTTTTTATTATTTTATTATTTTATTGTTTCCCTTCTACGTGACTTTACCGAAAGAACCAAGAATATGAGTTGGTATACTTGCTTGCTTGGGTTAAAGTAGTGACCTAAAAGTGATGATAAATTCCTTCTGTTATCCGAGGCTTTGTCACATGGTTCACCCAGACATGGTCTCTGAAAGCTCAATTTAATCCTAATATCCAAGCATTCATGCAGATCAGAGGAATTGCGGAAAATTAATTTAATTCTCTGTATTCATCCGCACTTTACCACTCGGATGAAAGGCATGAAACGCGATGGATAGACACGGATAATAGGAGCTGTCCCCCGTGCCCACTACTCATCAAATCGGTTCAATAGCATTCCGCTGCATTTTCATGAAACATTTAAATGTTAAAAAACAATTCACCAGGTAAGGCCCACTGAGCTATATAGCTCCTATTCAGAAGTGACCTGCCCACAAATGATAGCTCAACAAAGTGGCCTATCATGTGGAAATGTATTACAGGTGGTCCCTGGGTTACGGATTTAGGAAAGTGAACAATTTTCCCCTAAAGTCAATGATAAAATCTCATAGCCGGAAATAGTTGTGCCTCCCTACCGTTTTCTCTCAGTACCGCATCATGCTGTCGTCCGTTTTCTATCGCTACCTGCATCCTGTATCGCTTTACATACGCTCTGCATTTCCTATAATTCTTTCATGTAATCAAATATCTACCCTAAAACTACCCATTATTATTAAACTAATAGAACATATATTATATCCAATTGTTCATGAATACCACGAAACGTTTTTTTATATTAATTGTTATCAGAAAGCAGTTACTTCCGAATGTTCGTTTACCGTGCATTAGGATAAGCCTAGACTTCACATACATACACACACATACACGCACACAAAGACAAAGGTGGAGTAGGCTCGTCTACAAAGACACATACACACATACGCACACATCAATACCAATACCCGCCATATGCCACTAAGTGATAGTGACATCACCATGGTGCATGTGTAGAGGTGTTACGGGAGGGTGACACGCGGTTGTAGGGCGGTGGCCACAAACACGTCCGCTACAGCCACCACCCTGGGGGGCTGTGGGGGATGCTGTGATCCCTCCCAGCCCCACCCCTCAGTGAGGGACAGTATAAAAGGTGGGACCCGGAGAGCTGAGAGGCAGTTCGACTCAAGCAAGATGAAGAGCCAGTGAAGAAAGAAGATCGACTAGCTAGACCCTGGAACTCCTTTGGCCCGCTGTCCTTTTGAGGGCCGGGCAAAGCAAGCCAGGGTGCGACACCAGAGCCGCGAGGCCCGATGTCCTTCTGAGGGCCGGACTCGTGTGGCTGGTGATCGGGACCTGCGCCGAAGCTGGGCCAGGTCAGATAGCCTCCTGAGAGAGGACCAGGATAGAGGGAACCAGGGAGGCCGTTACCTCTTCAAGTATCAGATTCGCCACTGTAATTGAAGCGTCTGTAATAAATACGTGTTGCCTCCAATGAACAGTCTCCGACGTCAATAAGGCCACTACACATGTGTCAGGCCAGGTACACTTTGAGGCTATGTGAAGTGTCGAAGGCTCGCTGACAGGAGGTCTCGAGACAGACCCAGGTGCCATGGGTTGGCTGACTGAGGTGACTGGTAGAGCCACCAGCTGCACCCCCTACTGTGCCAACCCGCTGCATTTTAGCCACCGGCACTCTGCTCCTCTGCCCTCAGTTGTTGTTGGAGGGTGAATGCCTCCAACTACTCAGTAGCGTCCCTCACGAGCCTCCTCCATAGAGGCCGATCTTGACACCGCTGGTACCAGTCGTCGGCAAGTCCACTCAGCTCCACATCCTCCTGCACCGCATCAGTCCATCTCTTCTCCAGCCCATGTCATGCCCGCCTAGCCTCCTCTATGTGGCCAAACATAAGCTGCCCGGCTATGCGGTGGCTGGGCATGTGGGCTACATGACCCAGCTAACGCAGCCTTGCCTGCTGGAGCCCACCGATGGGAATGTGCCCAGATCCCCCGAAGTTCCGTGAGACCTCTGCTGTCAAACCGGAGCTGGTTATACGCATACTGCCCAGGTATAGGAAACTCTCCACTCTCTCCACAACTACTCCATCACCAATGGGGAGCTGAGGGGGTGGAATGTTTGGTGGCACAAAATACCCAGGCAGGTGCTGAGTTTTGGTGGGGCTAAAGGTAAGGCCCCACCTCTTAGTGGCACACCTCAGGTTCAGAAGCAGTGCCTCAAACTCCTCCACACATATATACACATACATATACACACATACACACAGTACATACAGTAAGTAACTCATGAAATAAACTTCAAATAAAGAAACTTAGCAATAGAAACATGGGGGAAAAAAAGATAGTTCTAAGCATAGAAACAAAAAATATGTAATGCTACAAAAGGAAAATAAATACTTAACGATACAAAAAATATTTACCTTAATCTTAGTGAAGCTCGGGCTCAGTGATGGCGGTGTTTTGGTGGAACGAGGCATAAGGAGGGGCTTACGCCTCGCTCCGTGGTATTCATCCGCAACCTCACCACGCTGCACTACCTGTGCTTACATAACAAACGCAAACATTTCCACATATTTAATTTTTTCATGGTTTATGGAAGCAATTTCGTAAAGCCGGAAAGTCACTTCCATAAAGTCGGATCTTCCACAACCCAGGGACTGCCTGTGCAGCTAAATACTCTAAATGCATGTTCCTAAATGTGGAGGGAAAAGCCAGAGGACCCGGAGAAAAATTCACATGACCACGGGGAGAACATGCACACTTCAAATATGCAGGTGTCAGGATCAGGATCGAACCCACGACCTCTTGTATTCCAGGCGAGATAGTTAACATCTCACCACAGCGGCACCATACATCTGCTGAGGCTGGAACTTTAACACAGATTTCAAAGTGTGTCACCACGTGTGGAGCTGGATAGACAAATGTTTAGTGGGATCTCCAGCGGGAACCATTTTGTCTTGGCACATTGATCCGTTTATCCCGAGCTGGCCAGCGTATTTCTTGGGGCATTACCAAAGTGCACCATCTGGTATGAAATAGACTTAAATGCCCATTGGCATTATTCGGATTTTAATATTCAAAGGACAACTTCGACCGGAGTAAATTGCATCACTGAATAAAGGATCCTAAATCGCATCCTTCATTCGGATCTCATCTTAAATTTGATTTGGATATCATCCTCCTCACACAGCCTGGCTTCGGGACTTCCTTCATCTGCCTTTCCCACCTCATTACCCCAACCTCTCACTCGCTACACTTCACTCTTGTATATTCAGTTTAACACGTAGGCTTTCGCGACCAATATTATTCATAATAAAGGTTTTTAGGTTAGATCGCGTTATTTATAAATGTGTCGTAACCCTCCACCTCCCGACACGACCAATCAGCAAAAAAAGTGTCACGTTGACAAAAGACAAATAATTCACTACTTTAGCCCACCGGTGTGTTGAAGAGTGAATCCACAACATTTACAGTTTGAGTACGACGTTTCGCTGGAAGCGTATTATAAAATAATACACATTACATTTTGATTTAAAGCTTTCGTGACTGCAGTGATTCATGTTCTTGGCTCTTTCGGTGGAGTCGCGTTGGGGGGAAGCAATAGAATAATAGAATATATATGTTTGTTGTTTTGTTGTTTCCCTTCGGCGTGGCTTTGCCGAGGGAGCTAGGAATATGAATGCACATTACAATTCCTTATAGGGGAAACACATACTAATTAACGGATTACTAACATAGCATATAATCACTAACACACATTACAACTAATTACTAATCTACAACTCATTACTAATCATAACCATTGACTGATTACTAATCGATTATATAATTACAATACCCCCCCTCCGCCTCTAATCACTGCACCTGATATTAGTTAAATGATGACGTCACCCTGCTGCTCTATATAAAACCGGGAGCGAGGGCTTTACCATTCTGGCGAATTGCCCGATGATGCTGGATGTATTTACCAGCGAAACGTCGTACTCAAACTGTAAATGTTGTGGATTCACTCTTCAACACACCGGTGAGCTAAAGTAGTGAATTATTTGTCTTTTGTCAACGTGACACTTTTTTTGCTGATTGGCCGTGTCGGGTGGTGGAGGGTTACGACACATTTATAAATAACGCGATCTAACCCAAAAACCTTTATTATGAACTCTTGTCTATTGCTGGAATGCCGCTTTTCATTATCAGCCATGGCCCTAGGCTTATATGCCTAGGCTAGGGGCTCTGCTTAGCAACTGTGACGGAAAAAAAAACTTTCCTTTCGTGAAGGTGTCCACGTATGAAGCTAAGATAGGTTAACAGGCTGTTTTGTGGTCGTGTTAGGAAATTGCCTTGCTGTGCTTCAATTTTGCAGCGCTGGGCTCGGTTCTCTGGAGACGTTGGGCTACACGAAGCGCTTGCAAGCCCGGAGGTCCAGCGGTTTCAAGACGAGGGACTCTTGATGCTGGATGAGAGGTGAGTGGTTGACGGGAGGTAAATCGCGTTGGACCATGAGCACTTTTTAAATTCCTGTGCCCCTGTGGGTGAGGGTTGTTGTTGTATTTGGTAATGCCGCACCATTCCGCCTCAAAGCTTAAGTCAAATGTCGGAAAAACCCCATGTTCAAATGAGTGTGGGCAGCACTCGTGCTCTGATGATGATGACTGTTTATGACGTTTAACCCTGGGCTATAATTTGGATTTCATGGCCAGTGTGGATAACTTGGCAGAGGTCAGAGTTCATGGTTGTAATATCAATAATTCAAATTTCAGTTGGCATCACATCAGCCCCCCTCTGCCATTTGGTATGAAATCAATTGTATTTGACTCTCAGTTGTAGAGGTGTAATGATCAAAGGACGAAATTCTCGAGCAATTTAATTAATTGTTGCGGTTCAGAGTCACGGACTAAATAATCTTTTATCAATTTTCACATGATGGTGAACATAGCGGCCACTAGTGGCTGCAAGATCCACGTGAACTTATTACATAAACATATAAGGATCAAAAAAACACATTGACTTTTACTCAATATAAGTCAATAATTTGATGTAGCATTACACTTGCCACAAATAAATATACCGGTTCTTACCATGGAAAATGGAAATTTTCCCTTGGCGGCTCAAAGTTAGCAGCATGCACTTTTGATTACCAGAACAAGGCACAGAACATTGTGTGGCTCGTGTGAGATCTGAAATACACTGAGGCACCACGGTGACGAGATGTTAACTACCTCGCCTAGTTTACAGGGGATCATGGCTTCGATCCCAACAATGACGCCTCTATATTTGGAGTTTGCGTGTCTCTCTCACCATGGTCGCGTGGATTTTTATCCAGGTCTTCCGGTTTTTCTCTCCAAATTTAGAATCAACATGCGTTTAGTGTATTTGGCTGCTGCTATAAATTTACACATGATAAGCCACTTCGTTGAGCTATAATTTGTGGCCAGGTCACTTCTGAAAAAGAGATATATTGCTCAGTGGGCCTTACCTGCTAAAAGAAAAATAGTTTAATAGCTTAGTTTAGTTACGTGGATGTTGTGCGTGTGAAAGCCTTCAGATTGCTGCGGGAATGGCTTGCGCATAAATACAACCCCGTAAATACCGACGAATTGCGCTCTGGAGTAGTGAGAAGCTCCCAATTCCCCCGTCACAGCCTCCGCCGTAGCAGATGGCCATCAATCTGAGCAGCTCATTTAGCGCAAACCATAATCGCTGCTCCCTCAGCTTCGTGCCGCTTGCCTGGCCTCGCTCCGTGCGTTCGTGTGTGTGTGCACAGAGCGAGTCATGCAGTGCACACGCCGACCGTAATCTCCATGTGCACGGTATCGCGAATTAATCTCCGTGACGTGAGCGCGTGCACTGCGGGTCTGCAGATGCGCCTGACCACCATACACGTGCGCAGCTTGGGTGTGCTTAGAAAACATTTTCACTGTCGTAGCGTCTAATGGTGGTATCACTTTAACACCCCTTCCCCTGCAGCTATTTCAACGAAAGGTCGGTGGGGGGGGGCTATGCAAGGTACGACTGTGGGCCGCCCCCTCCATTCTCCCGACTCATTTTTACTGAAATAGCTATAGATGTTCTCACAATTAAGTTATTGTGGGTCGTGCTTTCATGGCGGCCCATGGGTCTAGGATTTCCTCAAAGGGGGTGGATCGCACAACTTTATGCTCCTCTATTGATACGATAGCAAGATGTGCTAATTGGGCTTGGTCCATGGTATTTTGCAGGTAATAATAAATAATTATTCCTAATATATTTTTCTTAACATCGTTGTTACTTGTTTATCTGTTCGGGACCCCCTTGTGGTGGACTGGGCCCCTATTCGTTGCATAACACTGCCACATACCCCGAATCATAGTTGCGCTGCTGCCTGCAGCTCCCCCCCACAGTGAGTAAATTATTCGATTAAATTATGTATTCTTTTTTATTTAGGTTGACTGTATTGTTTGTATTTTTGTTGTTTCATATGCCTAGTTTGTACAGTTGTGTGTTTTGCTTTCGCCCTAAATGTAAAATTCATAATGAAATAACAAAGTATGGACCACCTCAGAAATTATCGACGATCTTGAGTGTTGCCAACTTATTCAGCCACGTGTCACTGTGGTGGAGCATTGGACAATTGTATGAGGTCAGCCCAAAATAAATTTACTTGCTTTACAGCCCCATTATCCAGTATGTATCCATCTCACCTACACTGACTGATCACCCTGCGCATGCCCGCTTGTCGTGTGCGAGCGTGCGTGCTTGCTTGCCGAGATGACAGGGGCGTGCGGGCGTCGTGGGAAGGCATCGCAGTGCTGGACGCAATGCTCCCGGACCTCCTGCTTGCCCTGCAGCGTCACCGCTGGCCGCTCGCTCTACCCCAGCACCTAGGGGGGCAGAGAGTGGGAAGGGCCCAGGGAGGTGGAGAAGCAGGACACGTGTGCGGGACAGCCGGAGTAGGAGATGGGACAGCCGGAGTAGGAGACGGGACAACCGTATAGCTCCGATGTTGTACCTCGCGTTGTTCAGCGTGATGTCCGACGTTCTGCTCTAGGTGCCGGGAGCGCCACGGTGGCAAGATGTTAACTGCTATGCAGGAGTTTGTGGGTTCGATCCAGACCCTGACGCCTTTATATTTGGAGTTTGCATATCTCTCTCCCTGTGGTCGCGTGGATTTTTCTCCTCCGCATTTAGAATGGACATGCGTTTATATTATTTGGCTGATATAAATTTCTACGTGATAAACCATTCATTGCGCTATCATTTGTGGCTAGGTTTCTTCTGAAAAAGAGCTATATGGCTCAGTTGCGGAGGAGACAAAAATCTGGCTGTTGCCTGATGAAGCCAGTTGTAATTACAGTAAAACCTTGGATTGCGAGCATAAATCGTTCCGGAAACGTGTTTGTAATCCAAAGCACTCGTATATCAAAGTGCTCGTATATCAGTGTTGATCACATGACGCTCGGCAGACAAAGCATATACGTAATACTCGTATTGCAAGATCTTGCTCGTTTATCAAATTAATATTTATTTCAAAATTTTGCTCGTCTTGCAAAACACTCGCAGACCAAGTTACTCGCATTCCAAGGTTTTACTGTACTGGAGAAACGTCGTACTCAGTTTGTAAATGATGTGGCTTGGCTCTCCAACACATCGGTGTGCTGTACTAGTGACGAATTGGCATGTTCTGTTTACGTAACAACCCTTACTAGGTGGCTGTGTCGGGTGGTGGCAGGTTTTAACGACACATTTACGTGATCTAACCCAAAAACCCCTATTATGGATATTGGTCGCGAAAGCCTACGTGTTAAACTGGCTCAGTTGGCCTTACCTGGTTTAAATAAAAATAGTTACATCGTTAATAGCTTTTTTAGGGAGCAATTTGAGCAGCTCATGTTTCTACCTTGATTACCTTGCGTTGCTACCTGCTGCTGGTGTCTGACGTTGGTCATTCGATGTTGTTCATTTGCTTAGTCTGGGGAGAAGACCAAGTTGAATGGGACCTCGCGATGCACAGAGCACAGTCAGAGCGGTGCGAGAAGCGAATCAGATTCCATGAGATTAAAATCGACCACATAAAAACCTTTGCCCATGAGGAAAAACAACGGCTCACTTTATTGCGTTTTCGTTTGACGTGTTAAGACATTTCTGCTAAAAGCTGAAGGGTTATTTAACCACAGTAACCTATGCTTCTCATATGTTGCGTTTACAACAAAAAGCAAGATTGCCTTTCTCTCTGTGTACATATTTTAATTAATGTTAACTCCCACTGGTTCCATCTCTGGAGCGAAAATAAAACTGACGGGACGGTGGGTGTCAGGGTCATGGGATCGCTGCCGCCTGCGGATAGAGTTCGAGCCTAAAGGCTTTTCGCTGATGAATAATGATTCATGTCTAGCGCTTGCGTCATTCGCTTAAATTGCCCCGTGAGCATGATGTTTTACCAAATCCTCCCCTCCCTCCTGCTCACCCACCTGCTCACTCACTTTTTTTTATTTAGCGCTAACGTCACGGTGCTCATTTAAAAACACGCCCCCCCCCCCCCCACATTGTGCTCCATTCAGGCACTAAATATGGCAAGCAAACACAAGCTCGGAAGTGTCTCTCAATTAAAATACAGCTCAATTTCATCCGATACAGTGCATTCAGCCGACACCCCTCCTGTTCTCATCAATCGCGAGATAATTATTGTTGCTGCATGGCCCCCCACCGCGCACAAGGCCGCCCTCTATCACGGCGGACCAGTTGGCAGGTATCTTTCTTATGCCCTGATTTAAGGCCAACAGCGTGACTGCATTAACACGTCATTTTCCACGCTTGGAAGCGCTGGTATTATCAGCCACGGCACCGGGCTGCAGCTTGCTGCTCGTCTATCTACAAACACCCAGTGAACGGTAGCTTCTCTTTGACAGAGCTATTCCATTGTAAGTTTTGCATTATAACTGTTTGACAGTTTCAACTTTATTTTACGTCCGACTAAGAATTATTATTTCACAATCGACAATAGCAACAATCGTTCATGAAGAACTTCATTGAAATGCTATGCAAGCATTTGCCACAATGTACGGAGTAGTGAAATATCCAGTATTATGAAAACATACATGTTTCGAACAGTAGGTTGTATACAGACATAAAATCGGACAGTCTGGTAATGTGGTGGACACGTTCACGTTATCAGGTTGTGGGAACTGCATCCAATTAAATGATTGCTTCTTTTGAAAGGGTCCTTCATATTAGTGGGTGTAAATAAAGAACTTCAAACTATAGTAAGCATTGTTATCGTTCACGGGAAATAGAGACTGTGAGAGCTATGCATTTCGTTCATGGGAATGAGAAAAAAAACAAATAGTTTTTGTCAGAACTAGAAAAGAACAGTCACGAAAGCTTTAAATCAAAATTTAGTATAGAACTGTAACCGAACTGAAACTAATTCCATAAAATTAAAAAACAACACCGCATTTTTTATGCTCCGATTGTTTTGTTGTGATGACCTCTAATATAACTGTAACACAGTGTATTGAGTTAGTAAATACACTGGCCACCACCATGGGAATGTGGATTTTCCATCACTGGCTCCGTCCCACTAAAATAGATGAGCACTGCTGCGTTGACACTTAATGAATAAACGTATGAAAGGAAGACTCTAAATAGAGAACTTCCTATCAACAGACAGCACTTCCCTTGGGAATTAGTTTTTGTTATACTATGAATCGACTGTTATTCGCTTTCCACACCAACAGTAGCACAGAGGTAAAGTTCAACATCAACTTTATTTGCTTTTTTTACGTAACCAGGCTGGCTTTGGTCACAAGCCAGAAGCGCATGGCTCAATTCCAGGAAGAGAGTGAGGCAATAGTTGAGTTGTTGTTCAACTTGGGCGTGAACCCACGTCAAGCTGCAGGCTTCAGCCCTCCGTCTCTCGAGCTGCTCGCAGGAGTGCATATAACATACGACCGGGGTTTTAAATCAATATACTCTTGCAGATCTAAATGAATATTGGCTCCCCCTAAATATTGATTCCCTCAGGAACAAATATTTGGGTAATATTTGTACCTTCAGCAAATGGGGTATTTATTCCCACCAGAAAATATTTGTTATGCCATATCACCAGGCGAACGAGTATTTATTTTAGGGGAGGTTAGCTAATGATCAAACATGAGAAAGTAAAACTTCAGTTTTTGGAAAGCAACTTTTATTAAAATTTAAGGTTTTTGTTGAAAATGCATAGATCTCGACTGGAGCAAATATTACTTGTTCAAAGAAATAAGGGTTTATAAATATCAATATTTAGAAATGGAACCAATAGTCTAGAATATTGGTTATTAACAGGACTTAATAGTCCTTGCTGGGGCAACAAATATTCTCTTACTTTGCCATTTGAGTTATTAATGCTGTACTTGTCAACAAAGAACACTGATTAGTATAAGTGGGTACATCAAAGGAGTGTCGCTGTTGCATTTGTAGTGAGTCCAACTGAGTCGCAGACGTTATCTTGGGAGCAACACTATTATACAACAGGACGCAACATTACACGATCTACACTCAGGTCTCGAATGCCCATCTAACCACGCTACGAAAGGACTAGACACGGTTCGCTATCCCGGTCCAGACCACAAGCTGGGTTCCGGACCGTGTGGCTAGAGGCTTCTTCTGCCCGACGTGGATCTTCATAACACCAGCACACGAAGAACCTCGAGCTCCTCACGGGGCCCTCGTTATATGCCTCCGGGCTGGGGCTGGCTCCGCCCTTCGCCCCACCCACCTTCCAGGTCTCTCGAGCTCTTTCTCGAAGGTTCCCGAGAGCTCTTTTGGACCACGTGACCGCCCCGCGGCCCCCATCCACCGGTGGCCCCCCTCCAATATCATCCGGTCACGTATCAGCAGGTCAACCAGCGTATCATGCCCCAATGTAACCCTGGCTGGCTGACGCTCTCGCTCCGTCACCGGGAGCCCGCACCGCACACAGCTCGCGGTGCCTCCGTGCTAACCAGCGCTTTTTAAACCTTTAAAACAGTCTGCCTCAGCAACTTTCCCCCTCTTTTTTTCCTCCTAATGACGATCGCTTGTGTTGTGATTGAAACGTATATTTTTTGTTATTTTCTTTGAACCGATCTACGTGACTTTACCGAAAGACCCAAAGAATAAGTGTATGTATCTGGGAATGTCTGGCAGAAGACCAAGTGCAGAAAGATTTCAACTGCCACCTTTGGGAAAACTTCTACACTCCAGGAGAGGTCATTGACATTGAGTTCGAGTGGATGATGTTCAGAACCTTGATTGCCGATGCAGCTGCGAAAATCTGTGGCCTGAAGACAATTGGTGCCTGTCTTAGCGGCGACTCTAGGACCCGCGAGTAGACACCAGTGGTAAGGGAAGCTGTCAAGTTAAAGAAGGAGGCTTTCTGAGCTATGCTCGGAAAAAGTTATACTGACTCGCTTGTGGGGGTACCAGCTTGCCAAGAGGGCAGCAGCAGTAGCAGTCGTTGAAGCTGTACTCAGTAAGGGTGGCGTAACATTGAACTCAAATAAGGAGATAGTCGAGAGGTCGATGGAACACTTTGAGGAGCTCCTCAACCCCGTGGACATGCCCTCCTCTCATGAGATAGCCCTGGAAACAGCTGGGGGGGTTGGCTGCTGAAGCCGCTGCGGCACTCGAGGGCCTTTGTAGTGGCAAAGCTGCTGGGGTGGACAAAATTCGCCCAGAGTTTTTGAAAGCACTGGAGAGTGTAGGAGTGTCGTGGTTAATACACCTCTTCAATGTTGCATGGAAGGTGGGTCCAGTACCTCTGGATTATCAAACTGGGGTCGTGGTTCCCATTTTTAAGAAAAGGGACTAGAGGGTATGCTCCAATTACAGAGGGATCACACTCCTCAGCGTCCCAGGTAAAGCCTATGTCAAGAGTGCTGGAGAGGAGGCTACGCCCT